TTAAACAATCTATGATGTGAAAGGTTCTGACCTCCTAAGTAGGTCATTACACGACCTCCATGATTCCCACAAGTGACAAGGATTTGTGCAACCCACAGATAATTGTTACTATACATAATATAAACAAAAAACATTTGAAGATTGAGTCACATAATCCGATATCCTCGTTACTCCGTACACGCTGTGCATTAAGCCCTTCATCGGTTGTCACAAAAAACGGCTTCCGCACTTCGTGGAACCGAACTGCTACGGTGATGTAGAGTCGCTTTTGTGATGTAGAGTCGCTTTTGCAATTCGTAGCGAGAGCGCCGTGACGCAATTTTGCCCAATACTTCCGCCCACGCAGATTTTGCCAAGATACGCGCCGGCTGGGGAACAATGCGTCGAAATTGCGTAATTCTACTTGTAATTCATGTATCTCACTAATAATATAAATTTAAAAGTTTGTAAGTGTATTTGTCCTCCTTCATCTGATAAACCATGGACTTAGGGCACTTAAACTCAGCTTAGGTCTTATGTGTCTTTACTAACACAGTGATATACTGGTAGAACAGTCAATTCACTGATTTTATTAAGTCCTAACTTTTGGCTATTATTCATTGGCTTAAACATTTGACCATACATTTGTTTTATGTGAAATGTTGCCAAACGAGCAGGCGGTTCACCTGATGTTAAGTGAATACCGCCACCCATGTACATGCTACATACGAGGGTTTGCAGATGCGTTGACAACCTATTGAAAATTGGGCTTCGGCAACCTCGCTCACCTGACGAAACGCGAAAGTATTCTACTTCCACTTTACGCCGGCCTTCTGAGAGGTCGTGGTACAGCCATTCGTGCAACAGCCGTGGCTGCAGCGTGGCCCTACCACCGTAAAAACGTGCTCATCATTAAAGGAAAGGACAAACATGCCTCAACATCAGTATACGATTACCGCCTTTTTAGATTTTTATGGGGCTACATTACTCTGCTCAAGATGCTCCACGTTTTAGCCTGACCTAGAGCTGCCTGTCTTAGGACCGTAAAAGCTCAGTGAATTACTAACAGCCCCTCAATTTACACACAGGGGACCAGTATAATATATTCTTTTACACTGGAGAATGTGAGAGCATTAATAACTTTAGCTCTTTTTAATGTTAATATGTTTTTTACTCGCGTGGTTGTTAATCAAATTAAAATTTGCCATAAAGCAAAAAGATTTACTGTAAGGTCACTCGATATCCTTTGTTTTAATGCCAAGAAATAAAGCGCCACCCACGCTGCAGTGTCCAGACACCCACTTTGAACTGTAAAAATGTATCCAAATAATCAGAGGTTTTTGTTTCTACACAGATAATATCAGTAGAAATTAACCTATATGTTCGTCAATTCGATATTCGAATTCTTTCATTATCTATGCTGAAATGATTGTTCACTGTTCTAAGCACATAGATCATCAAAAATAGAACAATTAAACAGTGAAAGTAAATATTTGCTTGGTTATCTATTTAACCCCAAAGATGAACTGTCATCGTAGATAAAAAAACAACTTATCACAGTACTAAATTATTCAATTTGTGTTTGCTTCAATATTCTTACGTAAATTCTATCAACGTTCACTGGAAGCTCTGAGAAAAATGCTCTATGTAGAAAGTACTCTGTTCACATAATTTTGAATACATGAATGACTGCCACAAATTGTTATGTAATTTATTAGATGTTACGTCGTTGCGTAGATACTATAACAGTGTTTGCATTTTGCCAACCCATTAAGTCTGATATATGGAAGTTTAGTGTCTATGATATGATATTGTATGGAAGCTTTCTCAGTACAAATTACCCGTCCTCGACTTAATTGGCTAAGATGTTTATTTATTTATTTGTAAGATGTTACAAATGTTAATAAAAATACAATTAACAGTTAGAAGGGTAAAGTTTTCTGCACGTAAAACAAGTAGAATTGTGGTCATTAATAGCTATCCACTTAACTTACAGTATGCCATAGCCTAATAATTTATTAGGAACTTATTAGTTTTAAATATATTTTGAACATCTAGTTGATTAACACCTTCAATTAACTGGACTATCTATTCAAATGGATGACAAAGAAACCTCAGAATTAAGGCAAATAAGTAAAAACACTTGTCAACCGCTTTCATATCATCATAAAACTTCCATCCAACCCTCACAGGGGATAATTACAATCAAACGTCAGTATATTAAATAAATAAACAAATATAAATATTTTTAGGACACATTTTTACACAACGTTCTCTAGTACCAAAATAAGCAACGCTTGTACTATGGGTACTAGATAACTGATAAACATACTTAAACATACTTTTCTTTTGTAAATAAATACATATTATACATAAATAAACTAGATGACTCCGTGGCGCAGTTGCCAAGGTATTGGCTACGGCGTCAGGGTTCGTGGGTTCGATTCCCACACGGGACAACTATTTGTGCGAGCCACAGATAGTTGTTTCGCATCTGGGTGTTTATCCTCGTGCAATTTATGTTTGTAAAACGTCCTTACAACACAGGATAATGTTGTCCTAAAGTGAGGGCAATGTTTTTTTAAAAAAAAAAACGAAAAAAAAAAACACCCAGACACTAGAAAAACACTACGTTCATTACACAATATTTATCCAGTGGTGGGGATCGAACCCACACCCTCTGGCGCAGGAGGCAGGTACACTACCCACAACGCCATTCGGGTCGTCATAGATAGAGTATTTCTCCGTCGGATCATTATCCTCCGTAATCATGACTGCTTTTTATTCTGATCAGATATGGCATCACTCCGCTACCTAATTGAACCATATTCCCGCTAGGAATTTGTATGTCGCTTGGCTGATTTTATTTTTCAAAGTTGTACGCATATAAATATTTATTTACTGGTTCAATTATTAAATAATTATAGCAAGCTCACATTTTTTATATCTAAACATTTCACAACTCATTCAAAACAAGTACCACTTAACATATTATTCAAACTGAATATGTAAAAGAACAAAGTATTTGTTGTTTTAATAGTTATTGAAATCTACAATAATATATTAAATTTTGACACTAATAGTAAATTAATGGAGGCTTTTATGAAATTTACATTATAATAGTTAAGGATCAAGTGAAACACGTTACGAAAACAATTAAATGAGAAGAAAAAACATTAACATACTATCGCGCAACCATATTTGGTTTCTCGATAGCATGTTTAAGAGACAAATTTCAATTTATGGAAACACCTAAATATTTAAGGAACTGTCGGTCAAGATTTATTAACCTGTAATGTGATATAATTTAATCGAGAACCACCGACTTGATCTATTAAAACGTCCTTAATAGCAAGCAGGGAAATAGCTCAGATTGTATTTCAAATGTCGATTGCGAAATAAGGTGTTGAACAAATTTGGTAGTGATTTTGCATAATTCACATTCAATGATTAATATATTATTTTGAATGCTACTTTCTTTTGATTATTATTTTTTTTATTTCCTGCATGTACATCCTACCCATTAACAATTCCTTTTGGTAAATCTCTGAGGTTTCCTAGAAAAAATTGCTGTGTAGCATAAGGCCGCCTTTTGATCACCAATATTTGATAATATTTTGTAATTTTTTATTTTTATTTTATGGTGTACAATAAAGTATATTATTATTATTAATGATAGCTACTGAACATCGTTGAAATTTGATATACTACAAGAACTACCCGTAGTAGACAATCCTAGTAGCATTATTATCATAAACTAAAGAAGATTCTTAGTTGAGCCTAAAAATTGACCCCCATCTGCAGTTTGTAACTGGCTTCAGGTATATGCCCCACTCATGGGCTCTGGCAGACGGTATTATGGTATGGTATACCACGCGACCCCACCGCGCATTATCAGACTTCACATATTGTTTTTTATTATTATTCCGGAAATATGCATATTTCGTCACAATGTTATACTTCACCGATGAGCACGTGGTAAAATAGATATAAATTCAATGTCTTTAACATAGCCTTTAACAAAGCCTGGGATTACAAACTAATATCCACGGCTCAGAAACCTGTCTCGTCGCTGAGATATGTCACCGTCAATTTGCACACGAAAAGTTTTAGAGCTGATCGCTAATGTGTTTCATAGGATAGCTTCGACTTTTTTTGTCATGCAAATGTGCGAAGTAATAAATTTTACCCTGAACATACATAGATCAAATATAACACATGTTTCTTACAATATTTTTATCTTGTCAAGTTGAGACCTGAGAGATTGCCGTTCAATGACCTGATTTTCTGGCTACTACAAATTGTGCGAGTCTTCGCGACACTCAACTGATTTCTTATTCTAAATCTACCTTTTCTTTTGGCTGTTATATGTCAAAGGCGCAAATCATTGAGAAATCAAACATTTTTTTTCCAATCTTTTTAAACAAAATATACTCAATACATGATATTTGTTGTGTATATTTATTATCCAGTAGATAAAAAGTGTAGCATTATTTTAAAAGATTATATTACTACTTTAAACGACTTTTATCAATGTTTTTTTTTTAAATTTGCTTGTACTCGTAATAATAACACAACATTATTCATGTCCATTAAACTACATATTTATTTTGCGAAATTCGATCCGATAACACTTTTATAAATAGCGAAGTGGTGTCATTGTCTTCAACAAGCCGTGTACGAGCGAGTTTCGTCTCAATAATTCATCGTAACTCTTTATTGCGTAAACAAGTCGCTCAGAAATTTCACATGTACTAATCTCTTCTTCAAAACTCCGCTATAAAACCTCACTAAATTGCTCTTAAGCGGCCATTAGAGCATCACTCTATTTTTATACCTCTAATAGATATTTAAAAGCCTCAATAAAACAGCTCGCGCGTGTGATGAACCCGAAGCTATTGCTTCTTTTAAACCAATTAAATTAGTTAAACCGCGCCAGATCTCGTCTTGGACACTTCAGCGGCGCACGCAAAAACATTAAGAGGCGCGGCAATCATCGTTAGCCGGGCTGTAACAATGTAATGGCCGGCAGGACTGTGAGGAGGGTGAAGCGAGGCCGAGTTAAAGAATCTGCTAATGGCCACGGGCAGCTTCCAGCTATAATAGTGACCCCGCCAGAGACCGTCGAAGATATGAAAATAAAAGTTCCCGAGAGTTCTAGCGAAGCAAAGAATGGTAAACAGGCTCTTAACGGCGACACTGACGACGCAGTAAGTGGAACGGCCGACAATATGACAGATTTCAGCGTTAAACAGCTGATTGCGCAGCTGTCAGAAAACTCGAGGGCGTCAAGGGAGGAGATAGAGAACATACAGCGAAGGCTAATGCAGCAGGCTAACGAAATAATGAAAGTCAACGAGTTCGCCAACTCTGGACTGGGCGAGCCGAGAGTTATCGCCGCCACTCAGAAGTACAGCACCGCCTTATACGGTCAGCTGCCAGTTGCGCCTAGGAATGCTATAATTAACGGTACACCGAATTCGGTCCTAAACCAGCAATCGGCGCGGACCGATACGCAGCTGATACCAGAAAGGCTGCAGGAGGCGCGCACAGATATTGTCAGCGGCGCCGCGAACAGCGGCCGAGGAAACGTCCGAAGGGTCTGCGCGTCGGACGCGGGAAGGATTTTTTTCCAAGAAACAAGTTCTGCGCCGCGAGCGGACGCCAGTGCGCGGTCCGCCACCACGAGAGGTGAATGTCTTTGTCGATGTACCAACGCGCTCGATAAAAGTTCCCGCGTCAATTATTCGGTCCACTATACGCGGATGCACCATTCCGACCGCGCTCTTCGGTGTCAACGTTGACGTTTGATTTCGCCTCTGTGATTGTGTAGTATGCCAGTGCGCCCGATGCTATTGTGATCGTAACGGTTGTTTGATCAGGTTCATTATTCGAGACGGACTGCCCGGTATGTGTCCTTGCTTACTTACATCCTCCTCGTCCCGTTGCCCCTTTAATCATTACCAGACAAAACAAAAACACAAGAAGTGTTTTGTTTTCAAAGCTCAGATATCTAATGGAACGGGAAAGCAATGGACGTTATTTACAAGGCTCTATATAGATTATGTGAAATTTACTGCCGGAGAATTATCTCATGATTTATATCGCCAACAAGATTAAAACTCTAATTTATTACAAGCAATCACGAGTGTGATTTTCGTTCTTGTGCTAGTGCTCTTTAGATATAATATCGCAAACCGTTTAGTCAGTAGATGACACACGTTAGATATTATGCAAAACAGCTTAGATTCAAGTGCAATTAAGAATGGATTTGCAACTCGCTAAGTAGCGAGATTCCAGACCGGTTGAGTACTTATCGAACATTTAAAGTATTTAGATATATTGTCGTGTATTTTAATATTTGAACGTTTTATAAGAATTATAAAAGTAATTTCTTGATTTTTTTTTCCATATTAAAGAACAAAAGGAATTTGAAACGAAAAAATTCTAATGATGATAAACTAAAGTTCTCAGATCACAGATATTGAATTAGCCGACAGTCCATTGTTACATTTCAACATTCCCAAATTGGGGCTCGTCTACGCAAAGTGGATTAGTGGTGCAGCTTTTGAAAATGTAACTGATTAAATCGATTCATACATATAATGGTGCAAGTGTTGGCTTCAAAGAGTTCTTGCGTAGATTGATAATACCGTTACGGTTTACTACAATGGCCGAAGTAACCGTATCCATTGTGTGAAATAAGTCAAAGCCCGACGGGCAATGTCACGCCAAGCGGCGGCAAGTCATGTATGAAAGCATATTGTTGAGGAATTGGTTCTGCCTCTCTGTTTTTGTCTACATAAATTCAATCTATATGTTTGCCTTGTAAGACGACGTTGATTTCAACTTTTCATTCATGAATTTAAAGTTTTTTATAGTGCACTTAAGATTAAGTGCAGAGATTAGCACTATAAAAAACTTTAAATTTATAAAAATCAATGGCATCTCTCGTTCGAAGTTATCGTTGTAAAACGATATTTGAAATTTTTTGTATGCTGGAAAGGATACAACAATAGATACACCAAGCATTGCTTCAAAAGCTAAAATAACAATGTAGATAAAGACGTTAAGATTTTCGTCGGTGTGGCAATCACCCGTTTAGCTTAGTGGCTAAAGCGTCAGGCCACGAATGCCGAAGACGTGGGTTCGATTCCCACAGCGGCGTCAATCTTTTCGTATTTTTTCTCAAAGTTTTAGTTTTCATTCATGTTTTAAAATAAATTATTTACGTCCGGCTTGCATATCATTATTTTATTTTAATAATCTTTTCTTATATATTTTGTTAATAATGGTAAGGCTATAAGTTCATTAAAATTTTGACGTTTAATTTACTAAACACTGAAAGTTACTTAGTATTTTGATCTCCCTTTATTTCGTTTTTATTATCCACCCCACAATACAACATAACAACTTTCACATAAATTTTTACGTATAAGCTGATGCACTTTGCAAGTTTCAAAAAGATACTGCTACAAACGTTAATTTCTTAGCAAAATAATGATTTAAAAACGATCAAAAGATTTCAAAACTTCCATAATTATGTAAGTTACTATTTACATATTCGTAATTTTTACTAAACATTTCTTGTCGTGGACAGTCTATCATTGCATCTGGTAAACAGTGACGGAGACATTGGTGGTAAACAAGCTACTACAGAAGCCTCTTTCATCTTGGCTGGAAGGCACCAACGTCATAATAAGAATAAATCAAATTATTATAAAAAAAGCAACAGTGCCATTTTAAACAACGATATAACAATATCTTACTTACTCCAATAAGACGAGGTCGCATCGAAGCAAAAACTGATCTACCAATCACCTGATAAATAAATACAAAAAATTTACAAGTAGCTTTCAACCTAAAATAAATGTCGTGGTCATGTTTGTACAAACGAGGACATATAACTGATTGAATCTTTTAAAACTTCATTTGGTACATTCGCTGTTATCAGAAGACTCATTTAGTTCCCGATAAACTAAACACCTAACACACTGGAACGCTGTCAATGAATTTGCGTTTTTTGTCACGAATTAGCCATCCGTTTTGTTTGGAACTGATCTTGAATAAATTTGGCATGGCACTTTTTTTTAAACGATAGTAAATAACCTTTCATCATGAACTAAGTATTTAAATATCAAAGTAGTATCCGAAGTCTATGCGTAGCCAAAGTGTCGATGACTGTTACACTTAAGGTCCGTTAATGTACAGACGGTATGCTTATAAAATCACTAATGTTAGTTATATAATGAGATATTAATAATAAACTTTCAGAATCATTGGGCGACAAACCATTTCTCACAGGCCTGAAAATTTGCCATTTGATAAGATATCTTAAGTTCATGTTTGGTCATAAAAGGTTCAAAGACACACGTTTTGATGTAGATTATTACTCCGATGTTAGACCGAAATCTGTTGAATTAGATCGTAGATTAGATCGATCACATTTGAATGGTCCACAATTTCTAAAATAAAAGACGCATATTAGAAAGCTGGATATTAGTGAGTACTGCACGAGGCTTATGCGCTGTCATTCAGAATGAAAGCCGCTATTGATAATTTTCCGATTAAGCACTAGGTATTTCTTAAGGTGTGTATGTTTACATCTCAATGAAACTACAAAATATTATTTATCGACAATTACGAAATTTTACCTCTTATTTATATAACCGCAAACCTACTAACAACGCTATGTTAGTTACAATCTTATCGTGATAGTCCTTTGTTTTGTAGCCTCAAACCAATACAATGTTTTTTGCCTTTAATCTAAAAAGAAAAGACGTTTGTCTTTTTTATTCTAACCGTTCTGGTTTTAATGCATTCGCGATAGGTCCGTTCTCAATCTCATTGGCGTATGTACAGTCACTTTATGTAGCTCGGTTTATTTCCCGTTATGTCTAATTCGGCTCTTTACTTGGCACGGTGACACGCGGATTCGTGTGGCAACGGATTGCGATTAAAGCGGCCGAGATTTAAGGCCTCAATGTCGTGAGTTAAATTTTTACGCTTCAGTGTTATAAATTCTATTTCGAGAAGAAGTCAAAGCTCAATTAAGCTTATGATTGTGTTTGCGGTTAGTTTTCTCATTTTATACCATATTGATGAAACGGCCGAATATATTTAAAAAAATTGTTATAACCTTACAGTCGTAACAGCTCAATGCCCGGCCGTTCGATTTTAATTCATTATACTCGACCTACCTGAATTCAAACCGAGGCCAGCACCAATAAAACTGTTAATTTTAAGTGCTACCTTATGACGTGCTCAGCGGTGTAGCGAAACTTGCATAGAAATAATAAGAAAATATTTCAAAGATGTGTGAAGGCTGCCAATGCGCAGTGGGGTCGTGTTGTCGACTATGCCCTCATACCTACATAAGAAGCCTTTGCCCAGCAGTGGGACATGTATAGGCTGATTCTTTACTCTTACTTTAGGTAACATAAACGTGAAATATTGTTTGTATTGGAATTTTAGAGGTAATTTCGTTTTTCACTCCAAAAGCCTCAGACGTTTTACAACATCCATCGTCATAAGATGGGAAGGATAGTATGTTCTTTTTAAACGGTTTTATTTAGCTCGACACGTACGGAATTTATTTGTTTATTCGGGTCAAAATTAGAAATTGAAATTTAAGCACCTGCCCGTTGTCAGATTGATCTCAAATTTGGTACTCACATTTAACTGAGATGACAATACAGTATTGTAGTTTTCAGTGCACAAAAAAAAACAGAAAATAAAACCGTTTAACTTAAAAGTTTTTAAACGGTTTTATTTACATAGTTTAATCAGACATTTTCGTACATAATTTGACCTCACGACATGAACTTCACGGTAATATTGACGTTAATCTATGGTTATGGTTCTACAATCTTCCACGGAGCACGTAAAATGTCGTAATTTCGATGTGTTTTTATACGCCCCGGCATAAAACAGATGCGTTCTTGTACAAATCAAACATAAAAAGTCGGTCCAACGCATCTGCTCGTCAACACCTTTAATGATATTGCAAACTAAAATCAATCATAAAGGTAAAGCATTAAAACCTATTTTAATCCGTCACAGTTTTTTTAGAGAGCCTCCCTTTCGTGTTTGTGCTTGTTCTTGCAATTGTTACCTTCTCCTCGATCGTTAAGGTCGGGATTTGTTTGTCGGTAAACATTTGCGCTTTAAGGCGGCGGAAGTTATTTGGTTTGTTATACCGATACGTATATGACGTGGGATATCAGGTAAATGAATTCTAGTTCCCTACGCGTAATTTGAACGCTACGTTTAACCAGAATTCTTATACTAGATGGTAACAGTTAAAAAAATTGGTAAGGTCTCGAGAAATTGTCTTTCAAGTGGCCTAATGCTGACCTAAACTATTTTTTTCTATTTTTAATATCGTCGTATTTTCACAATGAACCGCTAAACATACGAGTAGCAATTATCGACTTTGTGAGTCAAGATATTTTATGACATAAAAATTAAACAAACAGGTTATGTTGCCAAATTCAAGCTTTTTGTTAAGTAATATCTCATTTTAAGTGTCGCACAGAAATAGAATTAAAGTTGTTTAAATACGTTGGTGCGAATTGCTCAGAATGCTTCCTTTCTTTCCTGATTTATTTTTTCATAACATTCCTTTCTTTCCTAATTTATTTAGAGATGTACTTTTACATAAATGAAGAATTATTACATTGAAACAAACC